AAAACAAAACATCGACAACCAAAAACGCGAACTAGATCATAACGGGGAGGATGAGTATAAACACGACTATAAGGAGTAGCACCGGAAAGAGAGCTAGATGGAGTGATATTAATGGCATGAGTCGCGGTGAGAATAGCCTCAGCCCAGAAACGACGAGGAACAGAGTAAGAAATGAGCATTGATCGGGCAGTATCGAGGATATGACGATGTTTGCGTTCAGCAACACCATTTTGCTCATGAGTGTAGGGACATGACTGTTGAAAGATAGTCCCATGAGAGGACATGATAGAGCGCATGGCAGAGGATAGGTACTCTTTGGCACAATCAGAACGAAAAACTTTAATACGAGATTGCCATTGAGTGAAAATCATAGCAGTGAAGGCTTGATAAGCAGTAAGTACGTCAGAGCGATTCTTAAGTAGGTAAACCCATGTAAAACGAGAGAAATCGTCGATAAAACTAACATAATATAAGTAGCCAGATGAAGAAGGCAAAGGAGCTGGCCCCCAAATATCAGAATGTACTAAATCAAATAAGGAAGTGGATACAGATGTACTCATTTTAAATGGTAAAGCAGTGAATTTAGCCAATTTGCAACCAGCACATGACTCAATACTAGAACTAGATGATACAGGACCAAGTACTCCAGACTGAATAAGACTCTCCAGCCTTTTATTACACACATGACCAAGTCGTCTATGCCATAAATTGGCAGGAAGCGAGGTAGAGGGTTTTGACGAACAAAGAGAAGCAACAAGAGAACGTGGACGTATGGACTCTGGAAGGTGAAGATATTCCAGAAAATACAGTTTGTGCCTCCTACGACCCGCCCCAACCGTCTTGCCCGTCTGTGGATCCTGCACAATACAAGTATCAGAAGAAAATGAGACAAACAGGCCCGCCATGCATAAAGAGCTAATAGAAATTAAATTCAAGCACAATTGTGGAGCCACATAGACGGGACCAAGTGTTAGACGACCAGATGGATCATTTTGTGGGGTAATAGAGCCATACTGAGTAATGGACAATGGTTGTCCAGCAGCTGTGTAGATAGGAGGAAGAGAGGATGAAGTAAAGACAGAGGATAAAAGTGAGGCATTACAAGTCATATGAAAGGAACAACCAGAGTCAAAAATCCAGAGATCATTCATACCAGAGACTGAAGGATTAGCTGAAGAACCAGCAAAATGCATACCAGAGAGTTGTGCGGCGGATGTAGAGGTGATATGTTGAAAAGCATCAAGTTGACGGCGAAGACTTTCAATAGCTTGAATAGTAGAGTCTGAAGTAGTAGAAGGTATAGCATTGGCCAACAATCCTGGTGTACGAGAGGGTTGAGACTGAGGGGGTCGCCGACCACGTCCAGTACCTGAGGAACGTAACTCAGGATGAAGCTTGAAGCATGTCTCAATGCGGTGTCCTTCCTTCTTACAATATTTGCAAGAGAGCTTAGATCGAGCCTGTGGAGAGGGAGCCTGTGGAGAAGTATAATTCATAACAGGAGCAGTGACAGGTACAGACAAAACAGTCTCGAGTGAAGAGGTAGGAGTGTCTGTTGACAAATTGAGTCGTGCTGTCTGCTGCCGGGTCTCATAAGCAGTGAGAGCTCCCATAACTGAGGCCAAAGTCGGAAATTGAGGCTGGTGAAGTAGTTGATCAGCCATAGTTGAATATTCAGGAAGGGACTGAAACAATTGATGCACCTCATGCCGTTCGTACCAGGCTAGCCAGTCTTCATATGTGGAATTACGTCCAGGAAGCATGGAGCGTAACTCTGTCCAAAAAGCTTGCATTTGTCCAAAATGGGACTGCAGAGATGAACTACCTTTGCGTTGTAGAGAAATGCGTTGCAGAAGATATGCCTCCCGTGCACCCGAGCACTCAGTGAAACGCTCAGTGAGACGAGTCCACATGGCCTGAGCAGAGGGAAGCGAGCCAATCTCGACAGTGAGACCAGAGCCAACACAGCGAGTGAGATAATCCATAACACGAAATTCCTGCAATTGCCACTCTGAACTCTCCTTGACATAGAGAGCACGAGCAGTCTGAAGATCGACATCACCACTGCCAGAGGCAATAGTACTGGATGAAGCAACAGTGCTGATGGACGGTGGAACTGGTCCCGTACTGGTGAGATGATCAAGCAAACCAGCGCCACGCAAGGCATTGGTGACAATGGTGGACCACCCTGCCCAGTCACTTTGATCATTGAGGGGCAAAGGTGGTTTGGGAATCTTCTCTGAAGGAGCCATAACAGCAATCTTGAGACGTTAAGATGTCGAGATGCTGTTACTAATGTCGTTCGTTTGAGGCCGAGAGACGGCTTGAAACGACGATGCCGTTAATTTGAGACCGAGAGACGGTCTTGAAACGACAATGCCGTTAAAATAGAACCCGAAGGTTAGAATGAAACCCGAAGGTTTAAAATAGAACCCGAAGGTTAGAATGAAACCCGAAGGTTTAAAATAGAACCCGAAGGTTAGAATGAAACCCGAAGGTTTAAAATAGAACCCGAAGGTTAGAATGAAACCCGAAGGTTTAAAATAGAACCCGAAGGTTAGAATGAAACCCGAAGGTTTAAAATAGAACCCGAAGGTTAGAATGAAACCCGAAGGTTTAAAATAGAACCCGAAGGTTAGAATGAAACCCGAAGGTTTAAAATAGAACCCGAAGGTTAGAATGAAACCCGAAGGTTTAAAATAGAACCCGAAGGTTAGAATGAAACCCGAAGGTTTAAAATAGAACCCGAAGGTTAGAATGAAACCCGAAGGTTTAAAATAGAACCCGAAGGTTAGAATGAAACCCGAAGGTTTAAAATAGAACCCGAAGGTTAGAATGAAACCCGAAGGTTTAAAATAGAACCCGAAGGTTAAACGAGAACGCGAAACGCGTTAAGAGGCCGCAAAACGACAAGGCCAAAATATCTGGCAGATGAACGCCAAATAATTAAAAAAAAAAAAATAAAATAAAACATTAAACGGCTGCAAAGCAATAAGGCCAAGATTTGGCAAAAGAACGCAAAAGCGTTAAAAATTTTATTGAAAGGGAAATAGCCCTAGCTCTGATACCATGTTAAAGTAAGAGAGAGAGAGAGAATCTTGGGTAAATTTCCCTTGAATTGAATATTGAGTGTGCACATATATTTATACAAGTAGAGGAGTGTGAGGTTTGTTCTCCCAAGCAATGTGGGACTAAAACCCACTACAATACACTATTATCAACATGCGTCTTTTCATGTCATAAAGATATCACTGCAATAGTAGGTCTCAACTTAGTTGGTGACTATATTGATTAGATCTCTTAACATTTACAGTAGTTACAGTAGTTAAAATTGCTTGTTATGTAAGTTTTACTGAAAACTTCTGTATGCCCATTCTGTACAAAGACTCAACTCATTAGGTGATAAGAAAACATGGGGACAGTTTTTAAATTAGGCTGACACCATAGGCCTTACCTTGTCAGAGAGATATCTGGTTGTCTGTTGACTTGTTAAGAAGTTTATGCAGACATTCTACTTAGTTATCTTGGTATTTGAAGTGCTTCTCAGTAATTTCCAGTGGCAAGGAAAGCAGCTGCTAGTACATTGTTGGGTTTATTAATAATTGCAATTGATAGAATTAGGAATAAACAGCTCACAGAGAATGATCAAGCCTGCTGTTATGACCTACTATTAGTATGAATTCAGGAGCTGTTTAAGTCTAGACTGAACGATTCTTTCAGTATCCATGTCCGCAATCTGTGCTCGTTACAGCTGGTTGCAAGTTAGTATTGTAATGTTAAGTGTGTTACTTTGCTCTGGATCAAAAGTAGAAGGCAACTATTTTTGCCGTTGATTAATTTCACTAGTAGTACCAACCCCTATGCAACCACTTATAATGCTAGTTTTGGTCGTCTACAAGCCACTTCCATGATTTCTGATGATTAGTCTTAAGAAAAGAACCATGATACGACGAGTGGTAGTTGTATTTTGCTTCTAAAAGAATGTTAAGACTTCATTTTATAGGTTTTTGATGTTAATATTCTACTTATTTGAATTTTTTGAATTAATTTCAGGGGATGAAAGATGCGGGATTGATGTTTTGATGGGCTCACTAACGTCAAAAACTAAGGACTTTGGCATATTTCTCTCTCTCTCTCTCTCTCTCTCTCTCTCTCTCTCTCGTTAAGATTCTTTAGACTTTGTTGGTTAAGATCTTCTTTATGAAATTGATTGTAATAGACTTTGTTGGTTATGATTTTCTATATGAAATTGATTGTAATAGACTTTGTTGGTTATGATTTTCTATATGAAATTGATTGTAATAGACTTTGTGACTAGAAATGGATTATACTTTGTATTGGGAATATCATGACATTTACTTTAGATTTGTTTTGGTTCTTTCATTTACCTTTATTTCTGCAAATATTATGTGTGTGAAATATTGTTCTTTAATTAGTGGAATTGTGGTTGTGCTTATGCATGTTAATATTTACTGATTTTGAATAATTATGCTTGAAGTGCATCATTGTCTAGAGCTTATTCGGAATTATCTTTCTTCACCTGAGTTTATGAATAACCTTCAAGTCCAAGACTTGGTAAGATTATACGCAAATGAGAGTCATCGTAAATTTGACTAAATTTTCTTAAGTTAAGATTGTGCAAACATGTTCGGTAACTTGTAAATTTTTGAAAAATATGATAAAATCACAATTTAATTTAATTATTTTTTGTAAATTATTTTAAATCTAAATTTAATTCCAAAAAATATGAATTAAAATTATGTTGTGATAATTTTCTTCCTCTTTTTCTCAGAAATGTAACCAAACAAGAAAAAATGAATTTCTTTTGAATTTTCTTCTAACTTTCCTTACAATATTCTTTCTAACCAAACAATAAAAAAAATATTCTTTTCTTTTCTTTTCTTTTTCTTTCTTTTTTACTTTCTCTTTATTTTTCTTTTCTCTCCCTTTCTCTCAAATCAAACATAGCCAAGTCATTCATTTCTGTATCGATGCCATGATAACAGTCACTAAAACTTTCAAAGCAAAAGGGCAAACAATTGAAAACATATTCCTGTTCCATCACAGCAAGTGTATTACAAGCAAGCAAACTTTAACTCAAAATTTCTGTATCGACAATGCAATTGTTTTGCAAATCTCATCATTGAGATGAGCTCGAAATGCGCAGTTCGAAGATAATAAATGTATTGTGGTTCACTTGCTGCCTTTCTTCTGCTGCTTCTCTGTTTATGAAAAAACTAGAATAAGAAGAAGTAAAGACAAATCTTTGAACAACAGACATGAGAGAAAGATTACTTGATCTCCTTTTAGCTTCAGACTTGGCAAAGAACTCTTTCCATTCATCAGTCATGACAAACATAACATCTCCTTCTTCGTCTTCGAGCTCCAAGTTCTCTTCCAACTCTCCCTGCTCCAATTTGCTAATAGTAGAATAAACAGATTACTAATAGTAGAATAATTCTCTTCCAACTCTCCCTGCTCCAATTTGCTAATAGTAGAATAAACAGATTACTAATAGTAGAATAAACAGATTAAGTATCGAGGTTCATTGATAAAATAATTAGAAGGCAAACCTTGATGAATCAAGCATGAAATCTAAGTTGGCTGCTAGATGATGTAAAAATGAAGCTTCTGAGCTCGAAAAAAAATAAAGCTTTGATCCACTATTTCCAGGTAGCCTAGTGCTCCATTCAACTTTATTAACGTAACAAAATCAGCTAAGTGACTACCGTATCCTTTCATTGTGTCATTCCGGATTCCATTTTATCAGAAATTAGTCATAGCTCATCTTTTAACTACAGACACATCTTCATTACCACCATCCTAACTAACTGTATTTATATAATATGCTACCATAACAGGTATAGAAATAGGACATTTTGGCTGTAAATATTGGAAATATAACACCAAGGGAAAAAAAACAAATCAATGTATGAAGAACTTCAACGCATTGGCTTTATAGAAGAAAACTATTCTATTGATGTTCAAAGTTTTGACTAGTAGTGATAACTACGCTACTCCACTTGCATTACTCCTATACTACAAGAGAGAAAAAATGTGGGGTCCAATGTCTTCAAGGGAGCCCACACTTTTTTCTCTTGTGGCGTGGGAGAAGTGTGAAAAATTGTTATCATTATTCTAAAGTTTTATGATCCTTCTTTTATTAAATTCAAGTAATTTTTTATTGGTATTGGTATTGTTTTGTCCCACATGCAACCGCATTTTCTTGATACAATCGCTAGAACTTGGTAAGCAAAATGGTATTCCTGAACCAGATTCACAGTGAGAACTTATAAAAAAACATTGGCATGACATGTGTAACTATATGTATTTGATACTCGCAGATTTGTAAACTATTAATCTGAAAAAAAAGTATATAAGATGGAATATGTTAGTGCCCTTTTTGACATATAACAAAAAAATAAGTACTTATATGATTCAACATATACATTTATTCAGACAGAAATGCACATAAATTGTCCGCTAGCAAATGGATTTTGATACAATTGCCTGCCACTCCATGTCTGTGTCAGACCACATCACTGTGTGTGTCTAAATAGGTGAAACAGAGTTATTTTGAAATTGCATTCATCGGTTTGAAGATCCAATCCCATACCGACCCTCACTGAAGAAAATACTAGATATCAAAAGGTTGGCCAGAACTTTGCTGTAGGAAAATAACGTATTGAATACTTACTATGAATGATACCATCAAAATGGTCTGGACTAGGAGGTACACAAAAAGTGAAAAGCTGAAGTTCCTCAACTCTTGGGAAGACATGACTTAATCACAAAAACTTCAATAATTCTCAAGAACTACAGTTCCATATCCTTCACAAATCCTACTCTTCAGCACATTCGCCCTCTTGTAACCTCTCACAGAATCTTCAATTTATTCATGAGGTCATGAAATGTGATAACAGTAGTAAATACCGCGTGGGACATTAATTCTCCAAAACCCAGTCGAAGGACTTGGTCGCAAGGTTGTAGAAACCAGAAAGTGGAGCAAAGCAGTGAGACATTGCTTAGGCTTTTTGGGTCTTAAGAGGTTCAAAGGGGAAAAAAGTGCCCAGGAAAAAAACTGTCCAAATCCTATTAAAAATTTTGTATAGATTAAAAAAAACGTAGTCAAGTATAAAGCCAAATATGAGCACTTGAGCAATATATCAATCAAAATACTTGAAAGGAGAATAAAATTAGAAAAAGGTCATAATTAAATATATACATGCTGCCCGAGAATACTGCAGCCAACGCCGAGGAAGCTCAAGAGGAGGCGTCGTCGCGTAGAGAACTTGTTGGAGGTCATAGTTTAGGGGTATAAGGTTTGTTTGGGTTCACACGAAGAAGGGGTATAAGGTCTATTTTGGGTTTGCGTGGAGATGGTTTTGCAGTCATGCCCCAGGCTCGTATATGCCCGTTAGCATGTGGGACCCACTGAGTGTAGCACCACCAAACCCAATTTGAGTATGACGGGTTCAGAAAAAAAGACAAAAAAAAGGAAAGGTTTAAAATTAATAGTAGGCCCCTAGAAATGTGAGAAAATTGTTTTAAGTCCAAAAACCCTTTAAAGGGAGGTTTCTACATAAAACCAGCTTATGGGGAATTACTTTTAATTCTATATTTCTAGAAATAGTATTTTCAGTCCAAGATATTAAAATTGAGAAAAAAGTCCTTAGTGTGATATCCATGAATAAAGAATAGATAGATATGTTAAGGATAGTTATATTTTGTGTTTGGAATTCAAAAGTTTATACATATTGTACGTTTATAGGGTCAAGGGACAAGTAAGATAGTTGGAGTACGGTTTTCCGAAGTGTTATGCTACATCACGTGAGGGCGGTGAGAGCCACATCTATAGCAGGTAGGAGTCACCTCTAGAGTCCACATCATTTGGCAGTGATACCGAGACGAACCAATTATCATGCTATAGTGAAGACTTCACGAATTAAGGTGGAGTTATAGTGAGACTACCAGTGTTTAGTCCCACATTGAGAAAACAAAGAGAATTTTGACTGTTTAAATAGTCTAAGGAGCGAATTGTAGCATCAGCTAGTCAATTTTAGTAGTATTTTGAGCCGAACTACGCACTACACTCAATGGGTGCCAATGAGCTCACGGGCTTAGGACATAATATTTATTGTAAGCAGACTTGTCGAAGAGGCTTCAGTGACGAGAGCTTTGTTTAAATTTGGGGTGAGCTTTATGGAGAAGAAAAGGTGGATGAGGTGGAGGAAAGGACTATTTACCGGAGAAGAAGGATTGAGATGGACAAGGCGGAAGGATCAGTTGGACGAGGCTGAAGGCGAAGAATTTGGGGTGTAGAGTTTTTTGGGTTTATAATATGGAGGATAGAATTGGGTAGCAAATGAGAAAACATGCTTAAGATTTAAAAGCGAATCAAGGTCGGTCGGGTACAAAAGAGTTGATATCCCGCCATTTATTTGTGTAAAAAAGATTAATGCAAGTGAATCAATAAAAGTGAAACGGCCAGGGACCACTTCTACTTTAAAAACTGCTAAATCGGTGCTTTTACCGATTTTTTCAACATTGCTTAGTGTTTGTCTACTTTTGTCTTGAATACTAAAAATATCTGAAATGTGCAAATGCACATGATGGAAATTTTATTTTACTTTTTGTAAGTTTTAAAGTTTTTATAAAAAATATTAAAAATATTTTTAATTTTATTTGAAACAATAGTGCATTTAATAGCAAAGATAGAGAGAGGGTAAGATGTTTCTAAAGAGAGAATTATTTTTTCTAACATGATGCTCTATTTTCTCCTAGGATCCCCAACATGGCGTTCAGGTTGTCGTACCCGTGTCGGTTACATTTTGGGTGCGGTTCCGCACCCAAATGATGAGGATACATGAGATTTATTTTTCTCACACGTGAGAGGAGAGTTACCAGAGCTAAAAATGGGTGTATTTAGCTATAGGGTCTGTTTTTTTGGATCCAATAACCCAACCAAAGGCTTGAAAAAGACGAACAGCTTCTCTCTCTCTCCTAAGTTTTTATTCACTTAGTGGAGACCTCTCTCTCTCATAAGTTTTTATTCACTTAGTGGAGAACTCTCTCTCTCTTAATTTTTTATTCACTTAATGGAGAATAACATCATCTCCCATATGGGCTTATCTACCACGAAATGAGAATGAATTGTCTTTTATTTTTTGTTGTCTAGGATGGCAATGATACGAATGCCACACATGCTCCTTCCTTTTGTTATTAAAAAGTCACATGGTCCTTGCTAGTTATGGAGATGTTTGAGTTAGGCATTTTTTTCTCTTTTGAGATAGTTTGACTTTGTCTTTTCTACTTTTTTGAAACAAAAAAGCCAGGGTTTCAAAAAGTCTACTCTATTGGGAATTTGATAATGTGTTTGAATCAAATAAAAGAACGTAAAATAAAAAGAGAAACTTGAGATAGTTAAGACAATTTGTAGCTTTTTAAATTATTAATTTCAATTATTGAATATATATATATATATATAATTTTTTTGCGATCCGCTCCGTTAAACTTGATCTACACATTCTTAAACCCAAACACATCAATTTTCGGGTGAACCCGTCGTGTTTTGACCATTCGTTGAGCCGTGCAAAAAGTTCTATTAATTCGAAACCGTTAAAATTACGGTGAGTGGATGAAAGGTCAAAACACGACGGGTTCACCTCAAAATTGGTGTGTTTGGGTTTAAGAACGTGTAGATCAAGTTCAACGGAGCGGATCGCAAAAAAAAAAAGGGAATGCACACCTATGCAACCTTCGTTTTCTCCAATAATTTTCCCATCATTACCATTTTCTTTATATAATTGTATAGCTAGTAGTATAGACTTAAAAGTAGAACTTTGTTTTTTAAACTTACAATATTTATTATTATTAAAATAAATCAATTTCTTTTTATATTTCTCTAACCTGAATATTGCAGATATTTGATTATGTGGGCTCCTTTCATATTATCATGATATGGAATAATTTACAATAATTGAGAAGAAAGCGAAAGAAAAGAAAAAGAATAACAATTCATTGCTATAAATTTATGTATTTACCCTCTTAATTACAACGGAAAGGAGGAATGTCCTTCCTTCCTTCAACTTTTTGATTGCCCCTGCTTGGGCTTTTAATAGCAGTATAAATGTATACTTAACCCAATCAAGGCATTGCCTTATTACTGATGTATAATAGAACCTAAAATGGTAACATGATCTTCTAAAATTTTTTAGCTTTTGTCAAAAGGGAGGAAAACATACTTTAGTTACACATCTTTCAAGGTAAATAAAGGATTTATACTTAATTGTCAGACACAGGAGGAAATGTCATAACATTAATAAAATACGATAAATAAGAGGAGTTCTTTTTTAGCTTAGGATAGCTTTATACTTCTCCTGTAAACTACTTGGATCTTGTTGCCAGACACTCTTACACTGCATTACTATCTACCAATATATGAAGTGTCAATGGGACCCTGCCTTAAACTCAATAGTCTCGAGATGGAATTAGCAAAATTACATGCCTCTAGAAATCATGAGTGTTATGATTTATGAACTTGAGTCCTTTCTCAAAGAGAAAAAAAAACTTGCATCCTCTTCATAACAATTTTGTCAAATTAAAAATAGGGTGGGTATTCCTCAGCCTTTAGGTTTGAATTTCTTGAAGAATATTTGGAGATTAAAGTATAATCATGATCTTACTCTCCCTCTGATTGTCACTAAGTTTCACATAGTTAAGGCTTCAAGACATTAAAGGAGGATAAAGTTACAATTTAAGTATCTTATTTTTGACAAATAAACAAGTAAAAATATCCTTTGAACTATCCACTCTATTACATAAAAATACTTTCTTAGCACTTAAACACTTCCTCCCTCTCACCCTCCCTACTTCACCCCCTACAAGCTTCTTCCTTGCCTATTGTCATGGCCCAGACAAACGAGACAGTTTGCACAATGTAAGCCCTATGACCCATAGAGTGCAACTATAAAAGTCGGGAATATGAGGCGCTGTAGCGAACCGCTACCCGAGTTCAATCATACTAGATTCATGGTGGGACACGACCCGATTCACCAACTATAGCGACCCGATTTAGAATTCAAACCAGTTAAAATTTTGACAAACAATGACTTTTTTTCAATAGAATAAACAACAACAAACATGAAAAATTAAGCAAATAAAGTATGCATACTTTAATTGTAACATAATTCTTAAATTTGACTATTGCAAAACTTCTGATTCCTACATTTAAGAACCGAACCTAATATGTACCACGTTTCCTAGCATACCGTGTAAGCTTACCCCCTGCCACCCGATTCCTAACGAGTGGCATACCACACTCTCTTATCCGTCCTGTGAATCGGAACAAACCAGGTTCCATGCAACGATGAGTGCAACACATTATTTGACTCAACCCACTAGCAAAAATGTTAGTTATTGCTGCTACTTGACTCCTTTGACTAACTATATAAACATATATATATATTCCGACACACAATCAACATAGGACTATACAATTTTGGGGTGCCACACCTATCCTCTCCTCAATGCTCATCCTTGCCTTCTCTTCTCTTCTCCTCACCTCATCACAACATTTTGTTTCTCATTGCAAAAATCACCACAGGTAAAGGTTGAAGTTCAGGCGAATGAAAACGGGCCGAGCAAACATGGCAAGGCCCAACCTCAAGATCTCTAGGTTTTGGACAGGCTTGACTTTGTTAAGGCCCCAATAAGGATGAATGCAAGAGGATCGATCCATGAAGATGAAGGGTTAGAGGAATGTCGTTGAATAAGTAGGTAGCCCTAAATGAATTTTGATTGTAGTAGTAGTAATGGCCCAAATGGTCCTTAATCCTTATAGATGTTGCAGAGCAAAATTATTCCTTAGACAGGTAAGACTTAGTTGTTTTAGTCATTGCTCATGATTTTTGTGGGCTTAAAAGGATTAGTGCAATCCTCAAACTTTCAATGGGAGTAGGAACAGAGGCTATGAGCTAATGACATCAAATTCCAGAAGCAACAAGTGATAATTAAAAGATTAATGGTTTAACATGTGCAAAGACCATTGGCTGGCAGACACAAACATGAGGCCTCACAGGTTCTTGGCAAAAGGAAAAAAAAACTAGGATAATTAGCATCCAAAAGTGATGTAAAATAAATCATCTCTGACAACAATTTTCTCGAAATATGGATGTTTTTCACAGGAAAATCTAAAGAACGGCTCTTAGCCAAAAACAAAACCAAGTGTCTCCATGTGTACTGTATGGTTTTCTTTTTATTATTGTCTATTTACATATTTAAGAATATAAATGCCTGAATCGAGAGTCAAGATATATCGGTATAATATTCTAACACATAATATGTGGGGATGGAATTCAATCTCTACGTTATATACTAAAACATTTGTCATTGGTTGCAAGAATGCGACCAGTGGCATTCACATGCATGAAAAACTTCATCTTCTGTCATGAAATGTTCTTTTTTTTTATTTTTCTTATTTCTTCTCTATTCTTATGCTTTCTTCATCTGAAGTTAATCCGAAACCTCTCCAGTTCCCCTAATACTAATCATCCATTTCCAGCTTTTTTATGTCTCCAGTTCCCCTTTTCCCCTGGTTCTAGGAGTATGAATATTATGGGTGAAACAACGTTGTGATACTAACAACTTTTGCCTTCAAATTACCTGGAAACCATGCTAAATTACGGAAAATCCTTACCAAGAAACTGAGACTAACTTTACTGCAATTTCTGGATCAAACCCATAGTCAAATAAGTAGAACAAGGAAAAGCCATGGAAAAGGGGGGTTCTTCAAATAATAAAAATTGGGAGTGCATAGCATACTTGGTTACAGAGGAAGTAGCAGTAACTTGTTCTCCTCCATCGAAGGAGATTGGTTACGGTCAGCACGCGAAGCAGGAGACACAGGAAATTGTTGCTGTTGATGTGATGGTGATGAAGAGGGCAATGGCGATGGTAGCAACGGAGTTGGAGATGGGTGTGAAGATGAGCGTGAAGGAGAGGGCGAGTTATTTTAGGAGGAAGGTTTTGTGTCTGTTCTTGCATTGATCTCTCTAACTTCGGGAAGGGGAAAGGGGTAGAGAGAGAGAGAGAGAGAGAGAGAGAGACCTCAAATAATACCACCCACCCCAAGTGCAATGTGTCACGTGTTAGGTACATGATAAAAAATGTGAGGATTACTCCTCAGACCTCAAATAATTCCCCATTTTGAAAAGGATAAATGAGAATTTTTGAGGGCAGAGGATGTTATATGTCTTTTGTGTCAAGTTAGATTTTGATAATGTTACTTTTATAGGATCTAAATGGGCAAGTTTCATGGACGTTTAGTGGAATAAAAGTAATTCTAGGGTGTTATGTAGGCCTGTCCATCCGGACCGGTCCGGCTCGAAAATCCGGGCCCAGGCCGGGCAAAACCGGAGCCTGGGCCCGGACCCGGACCCGATGTAGGCCTGTCCATCCGGGCCGGGCAAAACCGGAGCTCAGACCCGGACCCGGGTACCCCGGGCCGGCTTCTGGGCCGGCCCGGTTTATTTTCTTTTTTTTTAATTTTTTTATTAATTTTTTTAATTTTATTTAAATTTTAAATTATACAAAAAAATTAATAAAAATAATAATTTTATTAATCACTTAAAATGACATAAATTACAAATAAAAAAAATTATAAAAATAAATTCTATATTAATAATTAATAAATTATTTACAAATTATAAGTATAAATTTATTTTAGAATTCATCGCATCACAATAGATAAGTACATCCCAACTAGGTTTTTTTAAATTTCTTTTCTTTTCTTTTTTTTATAAAAAAATGCTAAAAATTAGTTTAATATTATTATATTTTATATAGTTATGTATTAGTATATACTTACAAATTATTATGTAACTATATATTATATATACATATATTATATGTAAATATATTGTATATATTTATAAGTTATAACTTGAGAGAGAGAGAGAATCGCATAAGTAGCGTTGCCCGTTGGGCCAATGAGGAAGAAGTAGCCGTTGTAATATACTATACTTATATATACTTATATACTAAGAGAGAGTACACACACACACACAGACATTATACATATATAAGAGAGAGTATACTTATTATAAGAGGGAGTATACATATATAAGAGAGTATACTTATATATACTAAGAGAGATAGTATATTAGTATATATATATATATTACACACATATATTATACATAATAAGAGAGTGATACTTATATATACTTATATAGAGAGAGTATACAAATATAAGAGAGAGTATACTTATATATACATATATACTAAGAGAGAGAGAGAGTATATACATACATACATACATACATACATTATACATATATAAGAGAGAGTATTCTTATATATACTTATATAAGAAAAGTATACTTATATATACTTATACATATATATACTTATATAAGAGAGAGTACTTTATATATACTTATATACTAAGAGAGAGTATATATACACAATATGACATATTATACATATATAGAAATATATTATATATACATATATTATATATATACATATATTATACATATATAAAAATATATTAATATATACATATATTATACATATTATATATATTTATATATACATATATTATACATTTATAATACATATAAAAAATAAAAAAATAAAAAAAATAAAAAATTCACTATTCCGGGTCGGACCGGGCCCGCCTGGAGCCCGAACTTGGCCCGGGTTTCCCGGGCCTGGCCCGTGCCGACGGGCTTTTTGGACACCCATAGTGTTATAGAAACATCCCAAAAGTATAGGAGGTTTAGTGGAATAAATTAGTTTTTTCTTGTTGTTTTTAGGTGGGTGGGGGGTGGGTGGGTGGGGGGAGGGGGGGTTATCTGCAAAATCTCTCAAAGTTTAGTGGGGTTCTGAAATTAACCTGTCTTTATTTCCATTAAACTTTTAGTTTCCAATAAGAGTGTATTATATGTTTTTTAGCTATTTATTTATCCTTTAGTTTTCAACGATTAATGATATTATTAATAACATGATGATCCTTTTTCTAATTTTGTTCTTAAAATCTATAGAAAAATATGTTTCTCTCTTCAAGATACAAGCTAAGCAAACTTTTATATTTTAGTGACCCCTGTTGCCATAGTCCATGCCAGCATCCTCTTGAGGAATAACTGAATTTAGTTTTCACTCACTCCCAAATGTTAGTTTCTAAAACTCGGATTGGGAATTGGAGCCTACTTAGGGGGGTTAGTCACCTAGAACTTAAAATTAGAACTAGGATAATATGTGGGATAAATTTTTAAGGTGTTAGTCACATAGAACTAAGATCAGAATAAAATTTTACAGTGTTAGTCAAGTAGAACTCTAACAAAACTAGAATTGGGATAATGGTACAAAATTATTCCACCTTTTTTATTTTTCTATACAAAAATGAGAGTTCTAGTCTCTCAAATTATTCCAAGTTTTAGCTTGGAACTAGATGATAAAAATCTAGAACTCATACTTATTTTATTATTTTTTATTTTTTATATTTCTTTTTTTCTTTACTTCTTTCCTATTATGGTTATCACCATCATTAGACAATAATTAAAGGTGGAATAATTATCAATATCTTATAGTCTAACCAAAAGTTATTTAATAGTAAGGGGTTAAGAATTTGTTCAAAATTTTGCACTATTTGGTTCGCTTGACACATTACCAATTGTATACCTTACGGTACCAATTACTTTAATTTTATCTTTAAATAATATTGGACCATAAATTTGAGCCTTTGCTGGAGTTGTGCTTTTGTTGCTTCAGATTCCATAACATTTATGAACACTTTGAATATTTACTAAGGTATTTGTTTTGTTTTTCTTCAAATTCCATAATGCTTAGTTACATATGATGTCTAGTGGTCGTTGATAATTGTAATTGTCAAGTGCTTGGAATATGAAATATAGCATTCAATTATGATAGTTAGGACTATAGGTTTCAAGTTGTATCTTCTAATAATGGTCTCCAAGGTGGGGGTGTATGGAGTGATCTTCGATAAGAAGTTTCCTCTATTTGGGTTTACTTCATTTTTGTATGTAGGGGTGTTCAAAAAGCCCGCCGGTCCGGGCCCGGTCGGGCCGCGGCCCGGAAACCCGGTCCAAGTCTGGGCTCCGGGCCAGGCTCGGGCCGGCTCTTGGGTGCCCGGCCCGGATTGATTTTTTTTATTTTTATTTTTATTTTTTTATATGTATTATATTATATATGTATATATAAATATATATAATATGTATAATATATGTATATATAATATATTTTTATATATGTATAATATGTCATATGTGTATATTATAACTTATAAATATATACAATATATTTACATATAATATATGTATATATAATATATAGTTACATAATAATTTATAAGTATATACTAATACATAATTATATAAAATATAATAATATTAAAATAATTTTTAGCATTTTTTTAAAAAAAAAAGAAAAAAAATTAAAAAAAAACCTAGTTGGGATGTACTTATCTATTGTGATGCGATGAATTCCAAAATAAATTTATACTTGTAATTTGTAAATGATTTATTAATTATTAATAATGAATTTATTTTTATAATTTTTTATTTATAATTTATGTCATTTTAAGTGATTACTAAAATTATTGTTTTTTATTATTTTTTTGTCTTTTTTTATAATTTAAAATTTAAATAAAATTTAAAAATTTGATAAAAAAATTAAAAAAAAACCCGGCGGCCCGGGGTACCCGGGTCCGGGCTCCTGTTTTGCCCGGCCCGGGCCCGAATTTTCGGGCCGAGCCGGCCCGGATGGACAGGCCTAGATGTACGCATTGAGCTTTTTTCCATTAGGTTCTATTAGACTATATTTCACAGTAAACATAATTATTTTTGTTTAAATAGTGATGAAATATTGCATAATTCTTATATATATATGAACGGTCATAACTAATAATTACATTTTTTGATATTTTTTACTAAAACTTTGTATGAGCTTGTCGTTGATTATAAAGGAACAAAAGGTTCAAAGAAATTGATCTTTTATCAAGTGTTGTCTTCTAATGTAAAATATGTGTACTATTGAATGTGATTTTTCACGTATCCATACAATTATCTTTGGTGTGAGGATGATGAAGTCAAAAAAAATTTCTTTCTTTTTTCTTTTTTCTCTTTTTTCCTTTTTTCATTTTGTTTTTCTTCTTTTTTTTCTTTTTTTTTCAAAGAACAATAAACTCTCAAATGAGAAAAGAATAATTTTTTTATTATTCTTATTACTATGAGACAAAAAGTAAAGATGCAGAATGACAGATTAAAAATAAAAAACTCATGCTCTACATCAAATCCTACCTTATTACTGAAAATTCTTCCTCAAATTTTAAAGAAGTCTAATAAACTCAGAAAATATGCTTTAATTATGTATATTATGAAGTTTTTAAATATTTCTGTAGCATTTGAAGGTACATATGGATGGGGTTATGCATTTTGATTTTTTTGATATCGATCAGGCAAAAAACGAGTTTCAGATTTGGGCTTAGATTCCTTATTAATGAAGGTTTATCTTAACACAACCAGTTCTTTTTTTAAAAAAAATCTTCAAACCCAAAATTCATAGTTGAGATATGAAAATTTGGCATTTGTTTATTTTCTAAGAACCTACGCTCATCAGTGAAAAATGCTTCAAAACTAAGATTAGAGAAATTTGCGTCCGCCTCCGTGAAAACTAGTTTTGATCCAAACTCTACCAATATCTTCATTTCATCACAAAAAATCTTCTCAAAACTTGGGTCTGACTCATTCTCTTCTTTAGGATAATATATATATTTCCCGAAGAACGGGTGGATTAGGATTTTTTTATTGGTTTAGTCTAAAAAACTAATTCAACACAAATTAAA